CCTCCCCCCCTCTAAAATCAATTCTCTCCTGGAGAACGTCTTCGTGAGCCTCTCATGATTTCAGGATAGTTGAAACCCTCTTGAACATTTAGGAAGAATGAATATGAAATGCTAATCACGAAAGGTGTTCCCCGAGGGGATACGTTTTGTGAAGCACGTCAATTCTCTCCTGGGGAGCGTCTTCGTGAGCCTCTTATGGTTTCAGGATAGTTCAAATCCTATGATGTTCCGATTCAATGCTCACCGATGATCTGAGCCATGGGGCAAGTTTGTTTTCCTAAGAATCTTTTTGAACATTTCGAGAGCAGATGTTTGAACATTTAAAGTGCATATGAACATATATTTACGAAAGGTCGCCTCCGAGGGGATAAATCACCATGTCGAACATTGCATTTTTGTTCCTGCCTCTCGCGTTCTCTTCTCTTCCCGCTGTCCTACCTTTCGTGTCTCCCTCCTCTCAAGTCATGTAACATATGTATTTGTTCTTTCATACTTCTTCTTATAGGACTTTTTCACCGAAGCTCGGCTGCCAAATTCTGCAGCGAACTCGTCTCGAGGTGTTCTCGCCACCGAGCAGACACCTGGAGGTGCCTGCAACAGCGGCCTGACCACTGAGTTGTGTTCGATGTATTTTGCATTTATTTTTGCATTGTGAGGAGTGAAGGATCTGTAATATAAAGATATGCATTTGAATTATACTGTATGAGAAGGGGGTGATTGAGTGAATAAGTCTGATTAAGCCGTTGCTGACAGTGGTATTTGTGTTGTTTTCTCATCCCTCAAATATCATCAAATCAATTCAAATCATGGTGAACGAAGGCCCCTCAGCTTTCACAACTCTCGCGGTTTACCCTTTTGTCTCCTCGCGGGTTGACTGGTATTTTCACGCCAGGAGTCATCTCCATGGCCCTTTGATTTTGCTGCAGGCACCGGGCAGGATTGGGAATGAGACGGCTACGAACGGGGCTCCTGGCCTGAATGCCGGTCTGACCCGTTTGCAGAGAGCCAAACAGCGCGACCGAAAAACCTGGCAGGTGAATCCACCAGCAAGCCGCAAAGGCTGGGCAAGATCTACTCAAATCCATCCGACACCACTTGTAAAGGAAATGCTAGATCAATCACAGCACTCGTCGTTGTATGTCTATAATTATATACATGATTATACATGTTACATCATGTTACATATTTATTTTTAGAAGAATGAATCATTGATTGTCATTCAGATAGAACATCACGAGCTGAAGATCTTCACCGACTTTACGGCCAATGTTTTCGCGTCGGCCACGTTTGCCGCTGCATTTGCAGTTCCATCCTGGTTTGAGGCGCAAGGAGGAGCTCCAACGGTGCTTTTCCGCTTGGAGGGATGAGGCGGGTAACACTCCTCACTCGCTGAAATGGAACTTACTTAATTTCAAAACTTGGTGGCGAAGAAGGCGAGTCGAGTGAAAAGAACAACTCGCACTCACAACATTCCAAAACGGGGCAACCTAGCTTGATCTCTGTGTTCCGGTCGTTTCCAGTGCTTGTGTTTGGCACAACATTCTTTTTGGCATTCCAAACCCCTAGTAGCCTAGTAGGTTGAACGATGTTTTGTCCCATTCATTTGTAGGGGCCAAATTGAGCAACTGAGAGGGAACATCCACCAAGTGTTTGGTACTTGTTTTTTGTACCACTCCGTTGGTTCTGCGCCTGACTCCACACCCTTCTTTCCCGGAGATCCTGCTCTCGTGTGATTCGAGGGTTGGTCGAGGGTAGCACCAGTTTGATGGCCCGGCCCTAAAACCAAATCAGTCCATGCAGAACTTCACGAGAATGTTTATCCTAGTAGCAAATCCATTATGAGGGCAAGGAGTCAAGTTTGTTGCAGGCGGACGCCTCAGCACTGGTGAAGGCTAAGATGGAAGAAATGCGATTGGAGGATCCGCCAGATTGACCATCGAACCACGCCCACGGTTTTTTTTTAGAAGCTCGAAGAATGAATCAAGCTTCCTGGTGATGACTCTGTAGTCCTTGCTTGCAAAAGTGGTGAGTTTTGATCTTGTTCCGGATGTGTTGTTCCTTTGTCCTCTCTACTCCATGTGCCAATCTTGCAGTACTCGAAAGATCTGGAAAGAGAACCCAACCAGGAACGGCTGGAGCAGGAGACCTTTGAAAGCCGGGAGGCAGACAGCTGCGGGAGATGTATCAGAAATTCGTGTTTGCTTTGTGGGAGGTGGAGGTGGACAGAGGTACGCAGTGCGGATCCGGGGTGTGTATGGTGTGTGCTTGGCCATGTAATTACACTCAGACCCGTATCAGTGTTCGTCCGTTGTTATCAAGACATCCATCCAGATCACTCAATCAACAAATATAAATGTGTGCAAATTCAAGACATGGTCAGCTTCAGCTTCTGTTTGGAAGACCCACAATGACATTCCCACCGAGGGTTTTGCGTCTCGTCACTCTGACAGGCGAGCCCCAAGAGCCAGGCGTGGCGTGACCATAGCCCAGACACTCCATGGGACCGCCATATTTGCCGATCAGTTGGGGTGGTTTCAGGATGTTTCAGGGGTCAACGTAGGCATATTACCATGGAATGTTTGGAGATGTTTGGAGAGTGACCTGTTTTGGTTCCAGTATCTGTTTTGAAAACCCTTTGCCACTTTGCCAACAAAGTTGGCTTTGGACAATTATGCGGACTGAGTATGACCGAGTCTCCATTGTCAGCGTCTAACATCAACAGAGAAGGGTTGTCTCCCATTTCCAGAGGCAGAGAACTTAAACATCCCCAGATGCAGGCCAGAGCCACAACACCTTCTTGGAAGGTTGGAGCCATTCAGTGACGATGTTCTCGAATGTTTGGCGCTCCACGGATGTGCAGACACTCAAGCATCATCAGTTGGTCGAGAGATGAAGTGTCAGCCATGCTTGAGTGTGTGGTCGTTTTTGCGTGTGTCTAGCCTTTAAGCACCCTACCATACCCTACCCCTATGTAGTGTGATGCGCGGCCCTACAGATGCTTGATGATTGTTGGCGCTTTGCTTCGTGATTCCATACAATCTGCATGGTGATTCCCGTTGATTCGAAGCCAGTCACTCCACTGAAGACGTTTGAGGATGACTCGGACTACGAGAAGTCCAGCCGCGGAAGAACGCGCAACCGCTCTACGAAGGCCTCCACGGCATGAAGAGAAGCGTAGGATAGCATACGCCTCGTCATTGTCATCAATATTATCATCAAGTGCGTAGGAGTCAAGAGTCAATATAATATGGCTTTAATCGGATGTTTCAATGTTGAAGGATTATGAAGGATTTCAATGTTTCAATGTTCATGATTGGAGTGCTTACGACACTATGAGATAAGCAGTGGAGCAGCTGACGGCGAAATTGAAATCAGAAGTACAGAGATGTAGGAGATGTGCAGACGACATCTCTTGGTCACATTGAAATGTGGCGCACCATGGAGCATTCATTGTCAAGACCTTGGCTCTTCTCCCGCGGAGGTGAGTGTGGACCTTACTGAACGTGAGCCAATCCGCACGAACGACACTCCTTCACCAAAGGCACACGGCAGCGAGCCGCGCGGCGAGCGGCAGCCACGTCTGTGGGTTTTGGGCGCGGCCACAACCCAATGAAGAAAGGTGCTTTGAAGATCATGCCGCAGCTCGCGTCCTGTCCAACCACATGCATGATCCGCTGGTCTTTTTAGCACTCGGTTCAAGAGAGTAGGTTTTTTTGATCCGATATAGGATCCGGCTTGCGTTCGCTGCACCATGGCATCTTTAGAAAGGACTGCGATGAGTAGCTTTGATGTGGCGACCAGCTTGCTAATTCAATGCCGAATTGCTCACCAAGAGCTTCAGAGGGTGGCTGGGAAGGAAGGCAAGCTTTTGAACCGGCTTTGCGATGAGCTCCAGTACATTCGAAACGAGAGTGTACCGGAAGCCTTTGAGGTGGCCTTGAGGACAGATAGTGAAATGCAGATGCCCAGAGAGCCCAAAGAGCCCAAAGACGCAAAGGAGCATAAGGAGCCGGATCCCATCACCATCACCGTGCATGATGAACATGGACAGCTGAAGGAATGTGTGAAATCCTCCGCCAGCAGCGAGGGAGAATCTAGTGTCATGAAGGAACGTCGGACCTCGCAGACTTCCGAACAATCCGTGAAATCCCTAAGTGATGCTCCGCTAGTGAAGCGCATCTCCGTGCACTCCACAGAGTCTCGGCCTCGTACGCGGCGCTCCTACACAGGCGGCTCGTTGAGTGTCTCCGAGGGCGACATCCGTGCGGTGCAGAGCTACTCCATCAACGGCATCCGCAAACAGGCGGGCGAACCTTTCAGATCAATGTACTAAGGTAGACTCACTTAGCGAAGCAAAGGTGGTTCTAGATGAAGTCTTCGAGCATTTCCACGCGAGTCTTATTGCTGACACTAGACTAATTATAGTGCTGAAGCATCAGAGAGTGCACCATCGCCTGCATTGCTGGTCTTTCTTTGATTGATGGTGGTGTACTTCATGATATTTTAGTATTACATTAGTATTAATTACATAATACTATGTATATATATATATATGTATGTATTATATGAAGTTATTCTCTCGCTTACATTCCCGCTCAAGATATGAGATGATTCATTGCGCCTTTGTGGGCTATCAACATCAAACACATCGGTGATTGCGTGGCATGGGCTTGGGCTTGTGATGTGTCCAGGACCAGCCAGCACCACGACATACCGTGGTCAGCCTTGTGAAAGCCAACTTTGCGGAGTCGGATGCGTGGCCTCCAACCGTGGGTGCTGTGACGGTCCGTGACGGGCCGGGACTACTAGCGATGGCCTCCAACCTAATGCAACCTAAGAGCGATGGCCTCCAACCTATAGGCCTATAGGCCTTCAACCCAAGGCTGAACAGAGCGGCCCTTGGGATCTCCTGAGTAGCTTTTTGGACCTTCGATGGGATTCGGAATTGTGGAGCGTCTCATTGGAGTGGAACCTTGGTGACTTCCATTCGCTGAAGGCTGAAAAGACCACCGTTTTTCAGGCTCGAGCCATCTAAGGAGAAGCGGACGTGTTCCTCCTGGGTGTATTTCTTTGCAGATTTTCTTGATTGGCTCTGGAAACTCCAAGAACCTCCTCGGCATGGATGTTTAGCCAGGGTGGTGCGATCCAACCTCTTCGGCGCGGTTTGCGGCGTCACATTGGCTGGAGAAACGGACTTTTTTTCTTCGTGGTACAAGTAAGATTTGCCTCCTGACATCTCCTGACCTTTTGCAGACTTGTTTTTGTTTTGTCTCTCTCTCTCTCTCCCTGCCTGCCTCCCTTCCTCCCGCCTTCCTCTCAAACATACCATCATGTACCCAAGAATAATTCCTGTTGTTCATTATGGTTGTGGAAATGAAGGCACAGAGACCATCAGGAACCAATTTTTCAATTACTGTGTAAATGGTGTGTGGATGTTCAGGCACCAACGAATGCGCCGCCCCGGCCTCCAACCAAACCAGACCAAAAATTGCCAAAGCAACACGTTGGGGTCGTTCCAAAACCTGCAAACCATGGCAAACATTGTTACTACTAGTAAGGCACTTGTTACTACTAGCGATGCACTTGTTTCTAGTAGCGTCCTTTCAATTGCAAACCATGGCAAGATGTGGGGGCTGGGTTTCCCGGAGCTCGAGAGATGCAAATATGTTCGTTTGCGTGTCATGTTTTGAAGTCGTTTGAGGCCGTGATTCTGATGAACGCCATTTTTATCCTTTATGCCACAGATTATGAGATGCGGACGATAGATGAGCCACTTTCAGCAGATGTTGATATATCAGTCATCTAGGTTGCGCTGGCATCGTTTTATGTACTGGAACTACTGCTCAAGCTCATTGTTCACAGGCTTTACTTTTTTTGGAATGACGAGATGGCCTGGAACTGGTTTGATGCCATACTTGTGCTATTCTCCATCATTGAGAACTTATTGCTCGCAACACACAACACTGCATCTTCGGTCAACCTGGGCTTTTTGAGACTGGTCCGCCTGTGCAAGATCGTCAAGATCTTGCGGGTCTTCCGTACATTGAGATTCTTCAGTGAACTTAGATTGATGTTGGATTGTGTAGTTGGATCTTTGATGAATGTATTTTGGTGCGTGATCATGCTTCTCTTTGTGATATACGTCTTTGCCCTGCTACTCCAACAAGGGGTGGTTCAATATCTGGCAGAGCACAAGGCTTCTTTGAGCGCAAAAGGTCTGGATGATCTCATGACCTATTTCGGTTCCGTTGGGGTGACCATCGTGACCCTGTTTCAATCCTGCACCTCTGGTGTAGACTGGAACGAACCATATTCCAGCTTGTTTCATACGCGCGACGCGACCGGCGACCTTCTGCCCGTTGCTTTCCTGCTCTTTGTGGCTTTCGTTCACATTTCAGTTTGGAATATTATGACGAGTGACGTGGCTTCCATGTTTTGACAGAGGTTTTGTTGCCTTTCTTTTGTTGCTCCTTTTCCAACGTGCGACACGGCGTGAAAAATACAACAGTATCCAACAGTTCTTGCGAGCTTGTCAGTCATGAGGTACTTTTGTGGAAAAGGCACTGAAACTGGCCCAGCCCGACATCGATATGCTCATTCTTGAACAGCAGCTTCAAGCTTCTTGTTTTTGTATGTTTTTGTCAAATTCATTTGGAATTGGACCAACAAACCACAACCAACCATGTTGAAATTGCCCTGCGTGTTGAAGTTGCTGAGTCTTGTTAAGGATTTTGAAGACTGCCGGATGCTAACGGAACTCTTCAAGAAGAGGCTAATGATTGACCAGGAGGGTCATGAACGTTTGGGCCTGGAAGAGTTCCGAAAGATCGTTGAGACCTATGAATTCAGGTCTTATCTGCAAACCAGAGGCCACTTTGACTCCTAAGAGATCAAATTGTCCCTATTTCTGCAATTGAAGACCCTGAAAGCACCAAGTCCATGGCTGTAGGGCAAAGACCTTGTTTTGGTGGATTTGCTTCTGTTTTGGGTCTAGGTATTGACATCAAGAATGCCGAGACGTTTTTCCAGATGCTGGTCGAGTTGCAAGGGGAATCCACCATCGATGCCAACACCTTTGCAAATGCATGTGTTCGCATGAAGGGTGCAGCCACAAGCATTGACCTACAGACAGTGATGTTCACTACACATTTGATGAATCAGGACCATGGTGGACCATTTGATGTTCGTACCTTCCGCCGGAAAATACCCAGTCTCACGCCCAGCGTTTCCAGTCGCAGTTGAGGAGACATGACCCATAATGTTGAGGCGGGCACGCCAGCCATAGATACAAGGGTCCAAAATAGTTGTTTAGCAAACAAAAGCAACAGGTAAAGCAAACAACAAAACAACAAAATGTAGCTGTGCGTGTTTGTCGTTTCTTTTTTGGTGTGTTGTTTTCATATTTTTGTCGCTTTATTTTCTCAGTTGTTTCGCTTTATTTTCGCATGTTTTTTTCCCGCTTTTTTTCCTAGGCCCGTACAGCAAATATTGCTGACGGGTAAAAGTTCTCACAAGTGCAGAAGTGGTACCAGGAAAAAAGCAAAAAAAAGAGCAAAACAAGTGCAAACACAAAGCATTTGCGCTGCTTTTGCATTTTCATTTGCTTTTGTTTTGCTTTTTTTCACCAAAAAACATTGATGGTTGGTCATGTATGGCTGCCATTGCTCAACGCAACCATAATGATCCTTTTTTCATCTTTTTTCCGAATTGTGGACTTCTGGCGGAGGACTTTCCACTGACTAAACGGGTCAGAAGGGGCCTTTCCTGGAGATGTGGGCACACCACTTCTCTCAATGTCCGCCTGTGACCGCAAGGAAACTCACATACAACAAAAGACATCAAAAGACTAAGTCTGACTAAGTGTATATAGTAATATATAGTATATTTGTTCCGAAGTATGATGGGTTTTAATGTTGCTTCGTGGGTGGCCTGGGCCTTAGGCCTAGCGTTCGTGGCTGAAGCTTGGCCCGGGTTGCGGAGTTTTCATGAGCTTTCTATGTTTTTGACCTGTCCAGGAACAGCGGCGAGCTTTCCAGAACCTCTATGCTCGTCTCTTAAAGATTGAGTCTGTACTACTCCAGGAGGATTACCTGCTGGGGAACTATGATGACTATCCTGCAGATGAGGATTCTGAACATGAGGCGAAGGCATAGGCCTTCAGCCATTGCATAGAGATTCATTGTTTTTTTGTCAAGCACAGCTGTTGTTCATCCAGGTTTAGGTGTCACATGGTGCCTGTGTCACAGCTGTTGCTTTTGGCTCTTTCTCAAGCCCATAGCTTGTTTCCGGAGTCCCCAGATGTTTCACCAGAGTTGCAAACGCAACAGAGAAAAAAGGAGGGATGATGGTTGATGAGGGAGGGTGGATTATTTTCGGATTTTCAGGCTAATAATGGGAAGTGTTGGCACATAGCCCACCTCAGTTTGAAGGCCATTCTACACTGGCTTAGCCCGCTAACTAGAGAGACATTGGCGTTATGGCGTTTGGTGGCGACAAGCCTAGTAGGCCGGGCACGGTCTCGGTCTTTGTACAAAGGGAGCTAGCGACCGATTTGATGAATAGGAGGACTTGCGATCTGGTTGGCTTTGAATGCCGTTTTATGCAGGTGACAGCGCACGCCAGCCCCAGCGAGGCATCTTGATTGAAAATGGCTTGGCTGCATGTTGGGTGCTTGTTCTCCGTTTCAATGAAAGCACCCTTTCCAAGCTTCTCCCCTGGTGCTAGGGGTCCGTCTTCAGAGCAGAGCAGCGGCTAGCGGAGGCTGAGCAGGAGCGGGATCGGCTGAAGGAATCCTGAGCAGGGCCAATGTACAGGAGCTTTCCAGATGAAGAATTCTTTCATTTAACCCCCACACCACATAACACATCATAAAACAATGTAAAGCAGCTTTCAATAGAAAAGATTTATCAACTAGTTGAAGCCCAGAGAGTTGCGGGGTTGGACAACAATGAGTTTGGGCATCATGTTGAGAGTACTTGGAGTCCAAGAGGCGAACAGTAAGGGGGCCCAGCTGTTCACCTCAATGCTTGTTTCAACAACCATGCTCACACGCGCTCGCACGAAGGCCTTGGCTGAGAGTTTGTGGCAATCACAGCAGGCTCATCGACTCTGTTCGTAAAGACAAATCGATCTTTACTGAGACGAAACGGCCAATGGACGAAGCTCCTCGGTCCGTGGATGGACGAAACTGGGTCTCGCTAGACCTGGAAAACACATGAAAACAATGCATATCCTTCTATGAGAAGTCCTCTGAGATCCCAGAACTTCTGTCCACGATGCAGCTTTCAGTCATTCATATCATTCCTCATGGGAGCTGATTCCAAGCAATTCAGAGGCCTCGGGGCCGAATCGGTGTCTGATGAGTCTCCCGGACCTCCAGTGTTGGCCGAATCGGTCGCAGGGGCAGCGGATGTCCAGACTCGAAGTGAAGGCAGAGAGGCGAGGACAAGCGGGTTGCCGTGTGGCTCATGGCTCTGCAGGTACCGAGGACATCCACACGTTTGGGGACACTCGACATGGCATCTACTAACTGGATGTTCAGATTTTCAGATGATTTGAGGAGATTTCTGGGAACAACTTGAAACCTGTTCGATCTGCACTGCTTAGTCGGAAGGCACCTGCGGACACATGAACTCATTGACCTCCGACTTGCGTGGCAGGCCAGATTGCTGCTACGCACAAACACTTGAAAGTTTCAGGTTAGCCTTCTCAGTGATGCAACTTCAAAGCATTTCATTGAAACCAAGACCATGGCACTAGTAAGGCAAGCCAAAGGGTGCTTCTTCTCAGCAGGACTACCAGCACTAGTTGAAGCCACGAACTGCAGAGACGGGTTTCTGCTCTGCTCACAAGTCACGAATCGACCAATCAATACAACTATAGTTTTTGTATTGGCTGCTTGGATTTGCGTTGATTGCAGTAGGACTTTATATAATACCAAATCGTACTTGCAGTTGACCTGATGCACCCTGCTTTTGTCGGGGGCGTCGTATTTCGATAGCTTTTTCCGTTTGCCGTTGACCGGCTGCAGACACAACATGGTCCCAATTGAAAATTGTACAGGCTCTTGACTAATCAGGGTCACGGGGACGCCGGCTGATACACTCAAGTGTAGGTTGGAGGCCTTCGCTAGTGGGTTGGAGGCCATTGCTTTGTGGGATCCTTTGTGTCAGGCTTGGGAGGAAGTCATCAAGGACCCCTGGCCAGTCCAAACGAGAAAATCGACAACCGTGCTACCAGTAGGTTGGGTTTTATGAGATCTCATGTATCTTGTTCTCAAGTGAAATGTAAGACCAGGGCAATAGACCAGCGAATCCCTAGAGGACTGTCCCTAGAGGACTGCTATTTGGTGTTATTTGTTTTACAGTAGTTCTTTCAAACATGTTGTCATTTAAACATACACTGCAGCTCATGTACTTGCCTTGAAGATCTCATGTACCTTGCCTTGGAGCTCATTTTTCGTCCACGCAGGAGCGACGACAGGTCTGACCGATATGCTTAGCGAGCTCAAAGACTTGAGACATGGAAGCGTCACGTTGACTCCTTCGACAAATTGGCACATGCAGGAATTGTTTTACTATTACTATAGTTGCAGCACAGCCGCAGACATTGATCTTAGTGGAAAAAGTGGTAATCCAATCCTTGTAGGTGTGTATTCTCAGCTGCCATCGCGGTCCAAAGCTTGCCGGGCACTCTCGAACGCATGTTGAAGGCCCATGTTGAACGGCCTGATGACATTGGAAGCAAATTCGGAAGCATGCACCACTTCAAGAGATCGAGTATGGAGCCACATGGACAGGTTTCCAATTTGTTCTAGCTTGATCACCTGCTGATGCAGATCGTATCAGATATTGCCGTGTGAAGAAATCTACAAGATCATTCCTGTAAAAACGTAAAGTAATAGTAATAGTAATACAGCAATAGAATGTACTTTTGGGATACGTTTGGAAGACTCCACCACTTCCCACACCCCATCACGCTCGCTCGCGATCCGAACCGCGATCCGAACCGGAATCCGAATCCTTCGGATCCGCCGCACCGATCGCAGGTACATGCCGGTGGCGCCTGTGCCGGTGAGCAAAGCCCAAGAGCTGCTTGTGATGGAGGCGCCTAAAGAAGTGAAACGCGAAGAAACGACCTGTGTCAGCCAGGGTGTCAGAGCTCAGCTGAACTCATTTGTTGGCCAAATGGATGGCCTTCATTCAGGCCAAGTCTATGACAAAGAATAAAAAAAGGCCACCAGAGGAGTTTTGGTAGAAAAGAATAGAAAAGACACATCAAGAAGCCACCTCAATAAGAAGGTCCAACTGATGTCACGGGTGGCTAAAACGTTTGGTGTTCCGTTGTCCCTTTGAACATAGCTGGTCCGAGGGGTACGTGTTATTGTAAGATGGGTGTTTGTATGTTTGTTGTTTTATTGATCTCAGTTTCTCCCCTTTTGTTTGCTCGAAGGCTGGTGTCGGCGATGGCGGCCACGCTTCAAGGCGGAGTCGGGCCTCTCCTTGGAAGCGGCAGCAGCCACTCGTTCAGAGTGAGTTCTCCAGGAACAGGGCAAGCGAACGACAAAGTTCGACTGGGAAAGGGGACTGGATGGGACTGGTGCATGAACATTGGCTTGCTGAAAACATCTATATCATTCTAAGTCAAGGTACAGTAACAATCGTGCAAGAAGGAGTGATAGACTCCCAGCTGCCAACGAGACAATTGACACAAACACTTGCAGATTCAATGAGACCTTTCCGTTCCATTTCCATTTCCGTTCCATTTTATGAAAGCCCAACGTGAGTCCCCACAGGCCCAACGGGTACAGTAGTTTGTTTCCAACACATTCGGCCTTCAGCCCGCTGGTTGCAAGTCTGCCCAATGGCGTTGCGGTCTTGTGTGAGTTCGACATTAGGTTTGAGACAAGCCTCTTCAGTCCAACACAGAAAGCTTGAACGCAGACTATTCAGCCTTTTAGACACGGTGCCAAGCAGAGCTTTTTGACATAGACTGAAGACTGGAGCATTTGAGGCAGCTGCGGTGATATGGTAGCTTGACCGCATTTGTCTCTGAGACTTTCCACTTGAATCATCTTGAATCACTTGAATTGATCAGAGAGAGATCCGAAGCGTCAACAGCATGATATGCCATAATCCAACAGATCAGAATTGTCAACTCAGCAGACTCAACAGCTTGCTCAAATAAATTGGGCAGAAGTGTGGCATGCCCACAATGCAATGCCCCAGGACGCAGCTCCAAGAGCCGCCTGGATTGGATTCGGATAATCGATCATCGGATCACCAGGAAGGCTTCTTATGGCCAGCAGCTTTGGATTGGGGAGCGGGCACGGTTTCTTGAAGGAAAGATTTATTCAATTCATGACTCCATGGCCTGCGACCCCACCCTGGCAGCGATGGCCTCCACTCTAGAAGCGATTATTATTCAATTTCATGACTCTTCGATGGCCTGTGACCACTTGTCCCAAGTACTGGGGAGACAATGACTCGATGTGAACCCATCGACAGCCGAAGCCATCAGACCTTCCAGTTTTTGGAAGAGTTGACTAGAGGCAACTGACAAAGTCCCTGTTGCCTAAAGAACCATTGTCGGTCCCGAAATCCTGTTTTTGGGATAAGGCAACTGGCAAAACCGTTGTTGGGATCCCTGAGAGGTTTGGTACTACTGCTGGAAGGTCTTTCACACTGGGAATGTGAGTCGAAGATGAAGTATATTTACGCAGGTGGGTGGAACGCTGCTCCCTGTAGAAGGGCCTGGTCTTTGGTTGATTCACATGAGACGTGCCCCCAGGTCTTCATGAGTAACTAGTATGGTATGTATGCAGTTCAGTACGACATGATCATGATACTTCATTGGCCAATGCGGGTTGACCAAATTTCAGCCGGATTTTTTGGGGGTACCCATGGTACCATGTTTTGAGAGCCCTGTTGTCCTTCCTTCGCACCTGACGAGGCGCATGAGTGAAGGCTCCTCGACGAGTTCCTCTGCGATCTCCTCGCGCAACTCAACATCAACCATCTCTGACGATGATCTGGGCACAGCACCTCGGCATTGGACACCACCTCGAACAGATGACGGCAGCCCAGAGAAGCAGATCAAAGCACAAAGGGATCCAAGATCTACTGTAATAGGATCAAGGGGAGGAAGCACAGGACATGCAAAAGCCATAAGTACCCGTCAAAAGCAACAATCTTGTTGGAACGCGTCCTCTTCGTTAGCAAGACTTTTTGGCGGACGCTCATGTGGGCCAAAGCTATGTTTTGCTGCTGATTCCGATTTGCAAGTTTCTGAGTGCCTCTCAAGGAAGAACCCTGTGATGCAAACCAATTTCTTTTTCTCAACGGGCTTCTCCCTCGTCAATGTCAATCTAAGAAGTCACAGTGAGTTCCGGCGCCTAATGATAGTTATAGTATACCCGGAGTATACCCCTGTGAATAAACCCTATGATGACATTTGGTGGGTCAACCCCCAGCAGAGAACGTTTTATGGTCCCCCCCGACGGGGGGGGGGTAGGATGCGATTTTATAGAGAACACGTGTATTTTGGACACTGCTGTGAATCTTTGGGCGTCCATGAAACGTTCATTGCAATCGCAAGGCCCAGAACACCCTGGAGCCCAGAATAGCCTTGGATTCCAAGCAATAGGAAATAGAACAGTGGAGGGTCAGGACATGCCATTTATAGAGGCCTCCACGTTTGTAAAATGGCTAGGTGTGGCCCCTTCTCGAGTCCTATCCTCAGGTTCCCCGCCATGGAATGCTTTCCTATGTTTTCATCATCCATGTATATCTGGGCTCAGGCAGCGTGATTCTATAGTGAATTAGGTTTTGGAACCTAGGGACAAGCCTTGTCATTTCGTACAGTTTTTTATCCTTGAGGTGGTCATCCTGCACACTATTTATATATGTATAACTATAAAATGGCAAGCAAATGGCTAGCAAGACCCCCCTATATATTCTTAGGGGTACTGTACTGTATGTTACAGTTGGTACAGATATATTGTGTAATTACAGACAGATGTATTATATAATGTTAATATATATATATACACACATGTTCTTCATTCTTCGTCCAACTTATCCAACTTCTGTGCCTTGGTGACCTCCGCGTGTTCTCGCCCTAAGGTGAGACGCAAACGACGCCAAAGGCAAGTCGCGATGCGTTGAAAGTGCGATGGAAATGGATGTTCAGCAAGCTGCGTGCTACCGTTTGCCATGCATAGAGCCATAGAGCTCAGTGGCGGCACCCCTTAAGGACCCATCTACACACATGGCTTCTTAGACTAGAAGCATGGGGTGTTCCGATCACACTTCCATGGTGACCCAGTTGCACCATGGTGACCCAATTCCGCTCGTGGCAGGTATTCTTGCATTGTTTTGGGCCGCTGGGCCAAGCAAGAGTTCCACGACCCACCCGGGTGAACAATGCCATTCCTCCAACCTACTTTTAATGGCCTCCAGCCTAACAGCGATGGCCTCCAACCCTATAGCAATGGCCTCTGGACTATTTGATCCGATGAGAGTTCACAGATTCCTGAACTTGATACGGAGTTCTTCACAGAAGACCAATCCAACAATTGGTTCGCAGCAGTCCGACAATTGTGCATCATGCATGGAGTGTTGCCCATCCTTTCCAGAATATCCCCAAGCATGGATATATACTGCAACAAATTATAACTATAATGTATCTATATTATATCATATTTCATTCATCATATTTCATATATATATATATATCCATATATACTATGATATAAGCTACTAGGTTGGAGGCTATACCTTCTAGGTTGGAGGCGATCGCTAGTAGGTTGGAGGCCATTACTACTAGTAGCAAGAAGCTATTACTAACAGGGTATATATATATATATAGAGAGACATATAAATATTGCAAACCAATGACCAAGCACTGACCTGAAAGCGGTTCCAATGGCGAGCGTTTTCCGAGGCTCCCCTGCTGACCGAGTCAAGATCAGCTGACGGTGCCTGCTTGTGCTGCGAAGCACATGGAATCGAATACATGCCCTTATATAATCAATGGCATTTGATGCCAGGGCGGGACTAGACTGGTTCAGATTCAAACCAACAGCTTGTGGATTTCTTCCTCGCAATGAGCAGAACAGTCTCGTCTCTCCCTGTGACATTCAGTGATTTCATTCCAGCCCACTATGCTTGCTGCGAGGGGCATCTTGGAAGGGAAGGTTCGAGTTTGAATCACTGAAGCAATGCCTGACGAACCTTGCGTTCGCATAGGAGTTTGCCATATTTGGTCAGTCCAGATTGGCACTTCCTCTTCTTATGTTTTGATGATGCAACAAAAGCACGGCAAGCCACCACTTGGATACTCCATAGTTGGAGCAGCTAACTACCTGCATTGCTTTGCTTGACTATGATACACACGCGAATGCATTCTAGAGATGTTTTTGCATTCACCACAAGTCTTGAGCAGGCCGATGGTTCCATTTGATTTATGTTTGCTGCCTGCTTGAGAAATCGTGTGCCTGTCACATGCAGTGTTGCAACTCATCCACATTTACCGGAAAGTAGCTCGCTCAAAAAGGGCGCACCTTAGTGTGCCTTCCACACTCACGCAGTGTGTGAACAGAAAATGTACAGGCTTGGGGGTTGAGCATCCAAGGCCGTGCACTTGGCTCAAATAGGAGTGATGTCGCCTGAGAGGAAGCTCTAAGTTTTAGGAATTTGCACCGAACATGTAGCTTTTGCAATGTTTGAAATTGTTTGTGTTTTTACCTGGAAGCACTCATGATAGACTTGGTTTCAATTGGTGCTGCAAAGAACCGCCAAGCGAGTTTGTCATGAATTTAGCACCGCCACAAGCGCAGCAACGTGTGCAGTTCAATGACTTCAGAGCCTACAGGACCTCCGCCTTGCGCAACCCCAGATCTTTGGTCAGGAGCGCTCATGACATGAGGCCCCGCAGGTAGCGCTGCTTGCCAGGAATTCTTGAAGTTCTTGTGAGTGCTCCACCGATTTGGAGGTTCCAGGGCTGTCACCTGATGGGCAGTTGGTGTTCGCTCGCTTGTGCTTCGACCCAACACTATTTTGCGAAATGAGATCCCAGATGTACAGAGGTCTTCAGGACATTGGAATTAATACTCTCAGCCATCTGCCAGATCTGCCAGATGCGAAATGGTCCAATGGTGGCCAGCCAGCGGGCCCCGGAAGGACTTGAAAGATGACATCAGATCTTAGATACAGCCATTGTGTATATGTCTCCAAATGGGGAACTCCGCCCAATTTCTATCTTACCAACGGAAATACATAAGTTTGGAATGGGGTCCCCTATTTTGAGACATACACACATGTTGGATGCGTTTCTTTCACTGGCCTTCACATCTGAGGTTTCTGTCGACTATGCCAAAATAGGGCCGCCTTCATTTTGCTGCTTTCCCACTAGTAGAAGAATATTTAAGAAGTAATATTAAGACAGAGAAAAAAGAATGTTTTGGTGATTTGGCAGGGTATACAGTCAACAGTAGAGACATCTCACAGATCTTGTTAGCTTTACTTTCTGAATCAACCAATTGTCTACTATATATATAATATATACTATCTACCATTTCTTGGCCAGGTAGGGCAAGATTTTGTGTGTGTGTTTTTACTCACCTTGCCAGGCGCACGAGTTGGTGGAATCTCCTCCGGGCCCTCCCGATTTGAAACAGGCCTTCCTGTGGAGGGAGGCGGCAGGGTTTGGCATTGCCATGTTACATGGCATGACTTTGTTCAAGCGAGCCATGAGTCATCATCAATGCCTTTTCTGTCATGCTGGTGGCACACAACATGCCATGGTGTTGTGGGTTGATAGAAAAGAATTGCGGAGTGACATGTGACTTGGCGGAGCAACCTTCAAAACCAACAAAATAACTGTACCTTCCACTCCAGCAGTCATTACATTGGTATCAACCTTGCAAACATGCTGTATAAGTCAGTACAACGTGCATCTAGGAATCTAGGATATTTTTGTAATTCAATTGTTGTGCCGTAGAAGCATGCAGAGCTTGAAAGCCAAGTCCACGTTGCCAAAGACTTGCGAAATTATTGGGTTGGAGGCCATCGATATTAGGTTGGGTGGAGGCCATCGCTATGAACTCCCCTCCTGGCCTTCGCACGGAGTTTAAGTGAACTTGGTCGCCACAGGTGGCAGCTTCAAGGCAAGGCTTGCAGCCAATGCAATCTGGTCGCGTGGGGAGACCTGGATGATCCGGCATGCGATGACAACTGGTGCTTGGTTTGTTGGCATGGTTTGTTTTAATAGAATAGATGTTGACCGCCATATCACCGTTTGTGATAGGATCTGTTTGAAACCTTGACATCAGGGCATGCTGAGTTGAGTGGGATTTGACTTGGTGGGCCATCAATGCATATCAAACATATTGCAAAGACAGTATTTTGATTCAATCTCAATAGAACATGCCTTGGCGAGCTCAGGTCCGACAAAGGGGGTACACCTCTTGGGACGGCTTGACTCTGGGTGAGAAGGCCTTGATTTGTTCAGACTTTGACTATCTTTGGCCTGAATGACATGCTTTCTTACTACGATCTGTGGAAAGTGGCACCGATGGAAAAACACTGACACCAAAGTTGTGCCAGCCCATGTTTCACCAGCCAAACACAGCGGTGAGGCGTCCAAGACACCCGACAAGGTGCACCTGACAGCCATGTGAGCTGCGCCTGAGGTTCTGTGTTTATTCCTTTTCCTGGAGGGTGTACGTACTGAGAGCCAAGATGACCTGGTGCCCTTTGGGTCTCCGATCTGCGAGTGGATCAACTGAGTTGAGAGTTTTGCTCTTTCATTGTTTTTTCGATATTTTGCAACATCTTGCAACATGTCCCAACATGCTGGAATTGATGTCCCTAACATGCTGGAAGAGGCTTTTAGATGGGGAAGTTTCAGGAGTCCTGGCATCAGCCTATGCCAACATGTGCATACATTCAATACATTTATATAATTACACTGGAAGAGGAACTCCTTCCAACGAGTGCATTTCCACTTCCATAGTTTCGAGAGGGTACTACTTGTGCAGCACCACTCATGGATTTCGAACAGGATAAGTCCCAGAGCTTCCACGAACCAGGCTGAATTTGAAGTTGTTCCCGGTCACGGCATCCAAGGCCGGATTCAGAATTGAACGTGAAGAATTAGATGGACTCATGCATAAAAAGCAGCATATATAATCATATATATTATATATTGGTAGGTCCGCAAAGATTTCGAAGTATCTTCCTGCGTGTCCTTTCCAGGTCCTCAATACGATGTAGTCGCCGCTGGTCCAGAGTGACGGACCAGCGGCTCATGTTCCTGTCAGCTGTGAGCACGTGCGGTGCGTTGGCAGGTTGGATCCGTGAGAGGCCTGGTTCCCACAATGCTTCAATTTGGTCTTTGGACGGGTTGAAAGTCTAAAGTTGGAAAGTCTAAAGTTGAAAAGAGCCTCCAATTAGTTTTTGGATGAACATCCATACTTTAGTACCATCAAAAAACTCTTGGCGTTGTGCCGCAGAGTTCGCGGATGATCATTTCACTTCTGGCTGTAGGAGTGACTTGCACATGCAGATTCAGCTTCTGAAAGATCTCTTGGACAAGGAACGCCGTGAAGCACATGAAAGCCTTTTGGCAGCAGGTGTGTCCCCTGTACTGGACTAGGCACCAACTACCAATTGGCAGTTGGCAGATGTGCTGATAGTTGCGGTGAACTGAAACAAGTTCTACTTCGCGGCGTTCTTCTTTTGCAGCTGATTCATGCAGATTCGAACTCTCGTGTTGCCGATTCAGGTGCAAGCTCTTCGCAATTGGCCTTGGGAGCTTTGCAAGAGGAGCTCCAGATGAAGAAAGGAAAAATGAGGCCGGACGTGTCCCACGGTGTCCCGGACGTGCTTTGCGGGTCGAGATGGGTCGAGACTTCACGGTGTCCCCACGGATGAGTACAGAATGGAAAGCACAGGTTGCACCGTTCGCAGAGAGGATTGAGCCTTCATGTCACATGTCCAATGCCTGGTATGCCTGGCAGCCATGCGTGATGAGAAGACCTGGGTGACGCACGATGGACCCATGAATTCCAAGTAAAGGATGTAAAGGGCAATTCAATGGGGTCAGCCTTAGGAATTAAATTGAGGGGGGTACTGAGTCTCAAATTGTTTGCCGTCAATGAATTGCTGACATTGCCGACATAGGATGTTGGATGATGTTGGAGGGGACCCCAAAATTTGTCAGCATAACACTTCCCCCCAAAAAATAATCAATTTCGATTAATTGTGAGTGGGGGGGGAGGGGACATAATTAATTGGAAGAAGGTGGAGAGGTAAGGTACCTATGAATTAATTTTAACTATGGTGAAACAAATGAAGAGAAGAGTTGATGGTGGAGAAGATGAAAGAAATAGATGGAAACAATGGGAAGAATGGCTAGCCTAGCCACCAGAACGCTAAAACCCTGACAATTCCCAGGGTCTGACAATTAACTGGCGGTGGGAGAAGTCCTTTACCACCACACAATTTAATACCCAAAGCCTAGCCCATTCCCCAGCCAGCAATCACCTCTTCCCTTTTTTCATCTCACCACTCCCCATTATATGTACCCTTAGTATATCTTAATATTAGTCATGTCCTACCCCTTCTCTTCCAAATTCTGGCTTCCACTGAGCTTTTTAGATCTTTTTAGTGTTTTCTGGTGAGCAACACCAAAACCATCCAAAACCATGAGAATTCCCAGGGTATTGCGATTAGTTGGGGGGTGGGGGAAGCCCTCTACCATAACATAATGTAATACTCAAAAGGCTATCCTAGCCACCAGAACACTAAAACCCTGAGAATTCTCAGGGTCTGACAAATAATTGGAGGTGGGGGGGAGTCCTCTACCATATAAGTTAATACCCAAAAGACTAGCCTAGCCACCAGAACGCTAAAACCCTGCGAATTCCCAGGGTCTGACAATTAATTGGAGGTGGGTGGAGTCCTCTACCACCACACAATGTAATATCCAAAGGCTAGCTAGCCCATCCCTCAGCCATAAAACAATCGCTGTCAAATGCATTCAATTGTTGTCAAACATTGTGCAATTAATGCTTGGGTGGTTGAGTGCTTGGCCACCCCTACAAATACTTAACTCTAGGCCACTTATATACTTAATTTCCAGATCCAGCTACAAACCATCATGCACACTCCCCTTCATTGCCAATTTAACTGCTATGTAAAAAAAAATAAGCAATTTGCGCTGGTCTAGTCTCAGTTTAATTAACTCAAATGGCCTGGAAATAACAAAAAAACAATTTTGGTGGTGACCTAGTCCACCCCCCCTAAGGTAGGGCCCATGCAATTCACCCTTTCTGACAAC